CAATGTATGTCACACTGTAGATCTATGTGTCAATGTGTGGCACACTGTAGACCTCTGTGTCAATGTATGGCACACTGTAGATTTCTGTGTCAATGTATGGCACAAGGTAGATCTCTGTGTCAATGTATGGCACACTGTAGATCTCTGTGTCAATGTATGTCACACTGTTGATCTCTGTGTCAATGTATGTCACACTGTTGATCTGTGTGTCTATGTATGTCACACTGTAGATCTCTGTGTCAATGTATGTCACACTGTAGATTTCTGTGTCAAAATTTAAATATTGGCCACTCAGATGGATTTTATAAGTATAATTATATCCATCTTTTGATTCATGTTCATTTTGTGCCCACATATTTCAATGTGTCCATGTATGTCACTGTGTCCATGCATGCCACTGTGTCAGTGTAGGTCACTGTGTCTATGTATGTTTCTGTGTCCATGTATGTCTCTGTGTCCATGTATGTCACTGTGTCCATGTATGTCTCTGTGTCCATGTATGTCACTGTGACCATGTATGTCACAGTGTCCATGTATGTCACTGTGTCCATGTATTTTGCTGTGTCCATGTATGTCGCTGTGTCCATGTATGTCACTGTTTTCATGTATGTCACTGTGTCCATGCATTATCAAACGATTTTGCCACCCTTAGGATATTTCTCTATTCCCTAGTCCCCATCCTAAGACCGTTGCATTTTGAGTTGACCTCTGTGACAGTAGTCAGATAGTTGCCTCATGTGTTTCCCAATATGACAGAAGCAAAACAGTGATCTTCTATGACAGTAACCAGATAGTGATCTTCTATGACAGTAACCAGACAGTGACCCTGTATTACAGTAACTGGACAGTGACCCCCTATGATAGTAACAAGACAGATCCTCTATGATTGTAACCAGACAGTGATCCTGTATGACAGTAACCAGACAGTGATCCTTTATTACAGCAACCAGACAGTGATCCTCTACGACAATAACCTGACAGTGATCGTCTGTTACAGCAACCAGACAGTGATCTTCTACGAGAATAACCTGACAGTGATCCTCTATGGCAGCAACCAGACAGTGATCCTCTATCACTGTAGCCAGACAGTTTACCTGGTTCTGAAGCCCGTGGAGTCATCGATACCTCTATAGAAGAGGGGATGGGAGTAAGCATCTCGAATGTTCAGCAGTGTTCCTGGAACAAATACAGAATCAAGTGTAATGGATTAATCTCACCACACCATATTACCAACATCTACACAATTATACTATCAACTTCAACACAACCATACTACCAACATCTACACAACCATACCTCCAACATCTACACAACCATACCTCCAAGATCTACACAGTTATACATTATAAACCAACATCTCGAAAATACATAACCACATTAGAACAAATATACAAACAATCTCTAATAACATGAACACACCTGTTGTGGCCACATGTCCAGCAATACCCTGTGTCTTGGGCAGCCTGATCTCTCCCTGCACCTGGGATGACACACAGCATTACGTTTACACTGTCTGGGATGACACACAGCATTACGTTTACACTGTCTGGGATGACACACAGCATTACGTTTACACTGTCTGGGATGAAACACAGCATTACGTTTACACTGTCTGGGATGACACACAGCATTACGTTTACACTGTCTGGGATGACACACAGCATTACGTTTACACTGTCTGGGATGACACACAGCATTACGTTTACACTGTCTGGGATGACACACAGCATTACGTTTACACTGTCTGGGATGACATACAGCATTACGTTTACACTGTCTGGGATGACACACAGCATTACGTTTACACTGTCTGGGATGACACACAGCATTACGTTTACACTGTCTGGGATGACACACAGCATTACGTTTACACTGTCTGGGATGACACACAGCATTACGTTTACACTGTCTGGTATGACACACAGCATTACGTTTACACTGCCTGGGATGACACACAGAATTACGTTTACACTGTCTGGGATGACACACAGCATTACGTTTACACTGTCTGGAATGACACACAGCATTACGTTTACACTCTTGGATGACACACAGCATTACGTTTACACTGTCTCTAAACTAGGCAGTCACATGAATCATGTGTTTATTGTCTGCAGAGTAGACAGTCACATCAGTCACGTGTTTATTGTCTCCAGAGTAGACAGTCACATGAATCATGTGTTTATTGTCTCCAGAGTAGACAGTCACAATAGTCACGTGTTTATTGTCTCCAGAGTAGACAGTCACATGAGTCACGTGTTTATTGCCTCCAGAGTAGACAGTCACATGAGTCGCGTGTTTATTGTCTCCAGAGTAGACAGTCACATCAGTCACGTGTTTATTGTCTCCAGAGTAGACAGTCACAACAGTCACGTGTTTATTGTCTCCAGAGTAGACAGTCACATAAGTCACGTGTTTATTGTCTCTAGAGTAGACAGTCACATCAGTCACGTGTTTATTGTCTCCAGAGTAGACAGTCACATCAGTCACGTGTTTATTGTCTCCAGAGTAGACAGTCACATGAGTCACGTGTTTTTTGTCTCCAGAGTAGACAGTCACATCAGTCACGTGTTTGCAGACCAAGAAGAAATCATCATCTACACAGATGGATCCGTGAAGCGCGGATCAAGGTCATCATGGGCATACACAGCGCAAAGAAGGGGGAAAACAATACATGAGAACAGCGGCGCTTACCAGACAACCACGTCAAGCATGACAATGGAAATATCCGCTGCTTCTATAGATTTAGCGTAGGTATCCGAGCAAACCGCCACACAGGCAGTAATTGTCTAAGACTCAATGAATATGCTTCAGAAGATAGCAACAGGCAGTATGCACTCTGAATGGATAGAAAGCATTCGGAAACCGCACTTAACCTCCGTAATCTGGATCTACACACTGGGTCATGCGGACGTGAAGGGAAATGAGCGAGCGGACCAACTGGCAAGCACTGCACTAATGATTGCGGGAAAAAGCATGGACAGAGCAGATATCGTCAACGCTGTACGGGCTGGGCTAGATGATAATCAGGAATCCCTGACACTGGCATGACTGCATGACATGGGAGTTAAGCATTGTGATAGACGTCTTTGCCGTCTTCGAGGCCGAGAAAGGAGACAATATAACCAGCTTCTCATGGGGACAATTAGTAGAAGTACTTTGGAGTGGCTGCTGCTTCGGAGAACAGAGCACGCATGGGTATGCCCAATGTGCAGTGACATCAAGTGTGATAACAAAAAATAAAATAACGTCTTGTAGGGAGTCGGCAATACGAAACCCAAGTTCAAGGTGTCTCCTTCGTGCCAAAGAACTGCATGGCTGTTGGGTGAACAGTTATTAACGAAGGCAGGCAGGTCGTTGTAGGAGCGACGCCTACTGGTGGATGTAATGTCCTAAGTCCCTTCCCCAGCTAATAATGAGGGTACTGCTGGGGTGACCGTTTGTTAACCCTCATATAATGCTTCAGGTCAAAATGGACGCTAGGCACGGCCACCTTTTTTTCCCTGCCAGACAGTGGCCGTTGCATTTTTGCTCCATTTGTAGACTGGAAGGATATAGTTTCGTCCCCCAGCTTCTGAGTTGAGTGCATGGCGTGACACTGTGGGCTCCGTGTATTTTTCGTTGGCACAGGAGCAGAGCAACTATGGGGTGACCCGTTTGATATTAAGCTGAAACTAGGATTACCAGATTACCAGATTACCAGTCACGTGTTTATTGTCTGCAGACTAGACAGTCACATCAGTCACGTGTTTATTGTCTCCAGAGTAGACAGTCAGATTAATCATCCGTTTATTGTCTGTACACAAGAAGGTCACAAAAATCATCTGTTTATTGTCTATGTACTAGACAGTCACATAAATCGTGTGTTTATTGTCTTTACACTGCAGAGTTACAAGAACCATGTGTTCGTCATGTGTTTATTGTGTGCACTCTATACAATTACATCTGTTAGGTGTATATTGTCTGTATACTAGTTAGTAACATAAATCGTGTGTATTTTCTGTACCCTAGACAGCCATATCAATCATGTGTTTGTTGTCTGTACCCTAGACAGCCATATCAATCATGTGTTTGTTGTCTGTACACTAAACAATCACATAAATCATGTGCATTTTGTCTGTAAAGGTGGGGGTAGGCCCAAGGATAACCCAAAACACCGAGATATTCCAAATACTCGGATTAAACGAGGGTCTTGAGATAGGTGATGACCACGAGTTATCACGGGTATCACGACGACGCGACTAAAGGTCGCCACGTGGAAGTAAAGGACCGCCACGTGTTGCCACGCGAAACTAAGCCGTGGTTTAAGATCAGAATTGATTATAATCAAGGCAGTTTGTGTCGACTTGTTGGGGCGAAAGGACGGGAGACTGAGCGTATGAATGTCAACGTGAGATTGCTGTGGTGAAAGGAGAATCAGACGACGACGTGTAAAGTCAAGATCAGCCAGGCCATTCTGTGTTATGTTCCGAAGATCAACGAGATGCATCAAGGCAGACTCTAGTCAGTGAATGCGTAAGGAACCTGCGAGTTGAAGGCCGCATGAAGTGGTGTGCGAGAACTGTTATTAGGACAACGACTGGACTCATATGTAAGTTATACGGCTAAGTCGGTGTCGGCTTGTACCAGTTATGTAACGTAGAGTGAGTGATAAGATCATTCACGACACACACATAAACACCCACTAGACAACGAGTGAGATCATTGCATGCCTTTTGTCTGTACAATAAACAGACATCATTTGGAGTAGTGTGATCGTTGATGGAAATAGTCTGCCTCGTCTGTTCTACATTAGTGACCACTAGAGAACAATCCGGGTCACATGAGTACGAGTGGAAGCAGGTACGAGAGAGCGAGAGAGAGAGAGAGAGAGAGAGAGAGAGAGAGAGAGAGAGAGAGAGAGAGAGAGAGACCCAGGGAAAAAAAAGGAGACACTTCTTCATAGAACAGTAACAGAAGAAAAGTGCCTTCTTTACGAGATAGATACATAAATATTAAATTTATTTTCTACATACAAGATAAACACATATATATTGTATAATTTGTCTACACACAAAATAGACACATATATATTGTATTAATTGTCTACACACAAGATAGACACATATATATTGTATTAATTGTCTACACACAAGATAGACACATATATATTGTATTAATTGTCTACACACAAGATAGACACATATATATTGTATTAATTGTCTACACACAAGATAGACACATATATATTGTATTAATTGTCTACACTCAAGATAGACACATAGATATTGTATTAATTGTCTACACACAAGATAGACACATATATATTGTATTAATTGTCTACACACAAGATAGACACATATATATTGTATTAATTGTCTACACACAAGATAGACACATAGATATTGTATTAATTGTCTACACACAAGATAGACACATAGATATTGTATTAATTGTCTACACACAAGATAGACACATATATATATTGTATTAATTGTCTACACACAAGATAGACATATATATATTGTATTAATTGTCTACACACAAGATAGACACATATATATTGTATTAATTGTCTACACACAAGATAGACACATAGATATTGTATTAACTATCTGCACGCAAGATAGACACATAAATATTGTATTTATTTTTTACACAGAAGATAGACTTGTCTTCTTCTTCTGCCTTTCTATCCCCCAATGGAGCATAGGCCCTCAACCATCTCACGCCAATTCGTTCTATCCGTCGCTATTGCATGGAGCTCTCCCCATGATCTCCCCCTCTTTCTAACTTCATTCTCCAGCTCTCCTCTCTATGTGTTTTTGGCCTTTCTTTATTTCTATGCCCCTGTGGGTTCCAATGCAACGACATTCTAGTTATGCTGTTCTCCTGTTTTCTCAGTATGCGTCCTATCCAACGCCAGCGTCTTTTCCTCACCTCTTGGTCCACTGGAGTCTGTTTAGTTCTCTCCCAAGTTCAAGATAGACATATAAATATTGTATTAATTGTCTACCCACAAGATAGACACATAGATATTGCATTAATTGTCTACACACAAGATAGACACATAAATATTGTATTAATTGTCTACACACAAGATAGACATATAATATTGTATTAATTGTCTACACTCAAGATAGACACATAAATATTGTATTAATGTCTACACAAAAGATAGACACATAAATATTGTATTAACTGTCTACACAAAAGATAGACACATAAATATTGTATTAATTGTCTACACACAAGATATATACATACATCTACACAGACGAGAGACACATAAATATTGTCCTATTTGTCCACAAACACGATAGACGTGTTGTACAACGTGTACAAGAACAAGCAGAGACGAAAACTGAATGTGAGACGGACCTCCTTGTCCTCGGCTGTGATTCCATCAAACACCATGGCCACTAGTTCATCCGAGTCCTGGTCTAGCAGGAACACTGAGCACCTGGCAGTAGGAACATTCATGGATTAAAGAGTCGAGCCAGAAAGTTGCTCAGACGTACACGTGTATGCATTTCACTGACTGATGTTGCAGTCAACAGCAATGTCAGAGAGTTGCTCAGGCACTCGTGTACTGTCTGTTGTTGGAATCAACAGCCTTACAAGAACGTTGCTTAGACATACAGGCACTTTCACTGTCAGGCACTCATGCTCAGTTGCTCAGGCACTCATGTATTATCTGTTGTTGGAATCAACAGCCTTACAAGAACGTTGCTTAGACATACATGCACTGTCACTGTCAGGCACTCATGCTCAGTTGCTCAGGCACTCATGTGCTGTCTGTTGTTGGAATCAACAGCCTTACAAGAACGTTGCTTAGACATACATGCACTGTCACTGTCAGAGTTCACTAGAATGAATCAACTTGTATTTCCTTCATGACAATACATACTTATGGCAATAGGAGAAGCTATTATCAAACACAGTTGGACTGTACTATCCCATTCACTCTATAGGCCTAATTTGAAATTCACTGATTATCACCTATTTGGTCCACTTAAATATGCACTTTGTGAAACATGGTTTGAAGATGACGAAGGAGTGATTAACTCAGTGAAGAAATTGCTGCATGATCAAGACCAAATATAGTACGGTCTAGAAATATATGCACTTGTTTACACAAAGCAGTACAAGTTGATGGAGATTATGATGAATAATACAGATGTTTACATGACATACCCATGTACATTTGTTTTAATAAACAGTTAAAAAAAAATGTGATGCATTACTTTCTAAAGGCCTAACAGAGTTAATCAAAGAAATAAACGAACTCTATTTCCAAAGGGTTAAAAATTGGGCGGTCTTACATTCGACCCTTTTAAATACTCATCTTTAACACGGAAATTGTGTGTGTGTGTGTGTGTGTGTGGTGTGTGTGTGTATGTATGTGTGTATATATATATATATATATCTATTGTTTATCTAATCATAAAGATAATGTCTACAAGACCATAAAGCTAATGTCTAAACAACCATAAAGCTAATGTCTAAACAACCATAAAGCTAATGTCTAAACAAATATAAAGCTAATGTCTAAACAACCATAAAGCTAATGTCTAAACAACCATAAAGCTAATGTCTACACAACCATAAAGCTAGTGTCTACACAACCATAAAGCTAGTGTCTACACAACCATAAAGCTAATGTCTAAACAACCATAAAGCTAATGTCTACACAACCATAAAGCTAATGTCTACACAACCATAAAGCTAATGTGCTAATGTCTACACAACCATAAAGCTAATGTCTACACAACCATAAAGCTAATGTCTACACAACCATAAAGCTAGTGTCTACACAACCATAAAGCTAATGTCTACACAACCATAAAGCTAATGTCTACAAAACTATAAAGCTAATGTCTACACAACCGTAAAGCTAATGTCTACACAACCATAAAGCTAGTGTCTACACAACCATAAAGCTAGTGTCTACACAACCATAAAGCTAGTATTTATCTAACCGCGAAGCTAATGTCTACACAACCATTCAGCTATTGTTTATCTAACAATAAAGCTAATGTCTATACGACCATAAAGCTAATGTTTATCTAAACATAAAGCTAATGTCTACACAACTACGAAGCTAATGTCTACATAACCATAAAGCTAATAATGATGTAAACATAAAGCTAATATCGACACAACCAAGGAGCTAATATTTACACAATGGTACAAAAATACCTACAAAACCAGTGAGCTGTCTGTGAAACCATTGAGCAAGTGTCTACACAAGCATAGACCTAATGCCTACACAAACATAGAGCCAGTGTCTACACAATCACCGTGCAATTATCTACACAACAATATTTCTAATGCATACACAACTATGGACTTAGTGTATTAATCGTATTTCCTCCGGGAATGCTCTAAACAATAGAATGGCAGTAACATTGAGATAAGAAAGAAATACATGAGAATGTAAATACTTGTGGAAACATGAGATATACAAGCAGGGCTCAGACCAACACGTGATACCCCGAACGAAGGTTATAGGTTTAGACCAAGGTCTAATCAGTTAGTATGTGTTTGGCAGCTGGCGTAAAAGGATGTATCTGATAGGCTCGTGAATGTGACACTGTATATTTGAAGACGTGAGGGAGATTCTGTTCCATCGGAGGACAGCTAAACGACATCTTGATGATAGCCTAATCCGAAGTGGTAGCCGATAAGTCCACCCGGCCATGAAGTCTAACCGCCATGATCAGAATTGATAGATCAACCATTGTGTGTATTACGTGTGTAAGGAAACAAGACTGAAAGGTAACGAGTGTGTAAGGAAACAAGACTGAAAGGTAACGAGTGTGTAAGGAAACAAGACTGAAAGGTAACGAGTGTGTAAGGAAACAAGACTGAAAGGTAACGAGTGTGTAAGGAAACAAGACTGAAAGGTAACGAGTGTGTAAGGAAACAAGACTGAAAGGTAACGAGTGTGTAAGGAAACAAGACTGAAAGGTAACGAGTGTGTTAGGAAACAAGACTGAAAGGTAACGAGTGTGTAAGGAAACAAGACTGAAAGGTAACGAGTGTGTAAGGAAACAAGACTGAAAGGAAACGAGTGTGTAAGGGAGTAGACGTCAAGTACATGTGTTTAATAAATGTCATCCTATCCTGCTGGACCTGCTAGCTAATAGTAGACATTAACTGGACCTGCTAGCTAATATTAGACATTGACTGGACCTGCTAGCTAATAGTAGACATTGACTGGACCTGCTAGGTAATAGTAGACATTAACTGAACCTGCTAGCTAATATTAGACATTGACTGGACCTGCTAGCTAATAGTAGACATTGACTGGACCTGCTAGCTAATAGTAGACATTAACTGGACCTGCTAGCTAATATTAGACATTGACTGGACCTGCTAGCTAATAGTAGACATTGACTGGACCTGCTAGGTAATAGCAGACATTGACTGGACCTGCTAGCTAATAGAAGACATTGACTGGACCTGTTAGCTAATAGTAGACATTGACTGGACCTGCTAGGTAATAGCAGGCATTGACTGGACCTGCTAGCTAATAGTAGACATTGACTGGACCTGCTAGCTAATAGCAGACATTGACTGGACCTGCTAGTTAACAGTAGACATTGACTGGACCTGCTAGCTAATAGTAGACATTGACTGGACCTGCTAGCTAATAGTAGACATTGACTGGACCTGCTAGCTAATAGTAGACATTGAATGGACCTGCTAGCTAATAGTAGACATTAACTGAACCTGCTAGCTAATAGTAGACATTGAAAGGACCTGCTAGCTAATAGTAGACATTGACTGGACCTGCTAGCTAATAGTAGACATTGGCTGGACCTGCTAGCTAATAGTAGACATTGACTGGACCTGCTAGCTAATAGTAGACATTGACTGGACCTGCTAGCTAATAGTAGACATTGAATGGACCTGCTAGCTAATAGTAGACATTAACTGAACCTGCTAGCTAATAGTAGACATTGACTGGACCTGCTAGCTAATAGTAGACATTGACTGGACCTGCTAGGTAATAGCAGATATTGACTGGACCTGCTAGCTAATAGTAGACATTGACTGGACCTGCTAGCTAACAGTAGACATTGAATGGACCTGCTAGCTAATAGTAGACATTGACTGGACCTGCTAGCTAATAGTAGACATTGACTGGACCTGCTAGGTAAGAGCAGACACTGACTGGACCTGCTAGCTAATAGTAGACATTGACTGGACCTGCTAGGTAATAGTAGACATTAACTGGACCTGCTAGCTAATAGTAGACATTGAATGGACCTGCTAGGTAATAGTAGACATTAACTGGACCTGCTAGCTAATAGTAGACATTGACTGGACCTGTTAGCTAATAGTAGACATTGACTGGACCTGCTAGCTAATAGTAGACATTGAATGGACCTGCTAGCTAATAGTAGACATTGACTGGACCTGCTAGGTAATAGCAGACATTGACTGGACCGGCTAGCTAATAGTAGACATTGACTGGACCTGCTAGCTAATAGTAGACATTGACTGGACCTGCTAGCTAATAGTAGACATTGACTGGACCTGCTAGCTAACAGTAGACATTGAAAGGACCTGCTAGCTAATAGTAGACATTGACTGGAGCTGCTAGGTAATAGCAGACATTGACTGGACCTGCTAGCTAACAGTAGACATTGACTGGACCTGCTAGCTAACATAAGACATTGACTGGACCTGCTAGCTAATAGTAGACATTGACTGGACCTGCTAGCTAATAGTAGACATTGACTGGGCCTGCTAGCTAATAGTAGACATTGACTGGACCTGCTAGCTAATAGTAGACATTGGCTGGACCTGCTAGCTAACAGTAGACATTGACTGGACCTGCTAGCTAATAGTAGACATTGACTGGACCTGCTAGCTAATAGTAGACATTGACTGGACCTGCTAGCTAATAGTAGACATTGACTGGACCTGCTAGGTAATAGTAGACATTGACTGGACCTACTCGGTAATAGTAGACATTGACTGGACCTGTTAGCTAATAGTAGACATTGACTGGACCTGTTAGCTAATAGTAGACATTGAATGGACCAGCTAGCTAATAGTAGACATTGACTGGACCAGATCACCTGTAAAAGTGTAATACAGAATATTAACTGAATATCGTCTACTTGTTACCAACTGTGTGGATTATGAATGTCATCATGTCCTACATATGAAAAACCTCTAGCAGCCAGTGAGCACACCGAGGAGACAATATCCCACCTAGTGTCTAAACAAATATAGAGCTACTGTGTATATAACCATAGATATATAATATCTACACAAACATAAGCTATGTCTACAAAACCATTGACCCAATATCTCCACAATCATATTGCTAATGTCCACACAGCCATAGTTCTAATATCTCCACAATCATATTGCTAATGTCCACACAGCCATAGTTCTAATATCTACTCAATCATGTTGCTAATGTTCACACAGCCATAGTTCTAATATCTACACAATCATATTGCTAATGTCCACACAGCCATAGGTCTAATATTTACACAATCATATTACTAATGTCCACACAGCCATAGTTCTAATATCTACACAATCATATTGCTTATGTCCACACAGCCATAGTTCTAATATCTACACAATCATATTGCTAATGTTCACACAGCCATAGTTCTAATATCTACACAATCATATTGCTAATGTCCACACAGCCATAGTTCTAATATCTACACGATCATATTACTAATGTTCACACAGCCATAGTTCTAATTTCTACACGATCATATTGCTAATGTCCACACAGCCATAGTTCTAATTTCTACACGATCATATTGCTAATGTCCACACAGCCATATTTCTAATTTCTACACGATCATATTGCTAATGTCCACACAACCATAGTTCTAATATCTACACAATCATATTGCTAATGCCTACACAACCATAGTTCTAATATGTACACGATCATATTGCTAATGTTCACACAACCATAGTTCTAATATCTACACAATCATATTGCTAATGCCTACACAACCATAGACTTAATGTCTATACAATCATATTGTTAATTTCTATACAACCGCACGACAAACTGCAACAAAAAGAACACTAATACTGCTTGATTGTTCTAAACAGAGAAGAAGATCGTCACAAGATACAAACCGCTCAGCATCAGTGAGGTTCCGAGCCTCCTGCATGATCTCCCTTAGCAGTTTGGTGAGGTCATCTACAGAGTCAGAAAAAATCAGATCAGTACACGTCAAGTCAGTACAAGTCAGATCAGTACAGGTCAGGAAGGTACAAGTCAGGTAAGTACCAGTCAGGACAGTAAATTCGCAGCAGTGCAATTTGGGACAGTATGTCAGGTTAAAACAGTCAGGTCAGTACAAGTCAGGGCAGTATAAATTAGGTATTTACAAGTCAGAACAGTAAAGACAGGACAGTGACATTAAGATCAGTTCAAGTCAGGACAATAAAGACAGGTAACTCATGTGAGCAAAGCAAAATCAGGTCAGTACAAGGAAGGTAAATTAAGTCAGGAAAGTAAAATTAGGAATCAGGTATATACAAGAAAGGGCAGTATAGTCAGCACGTCAGCATAGTGTAGGTCAGACTAGAACAGTAGTTATAAGTTAGTACAAGCCATTACAGTAAAGTCAGGACAGTAAAGTCATCAGAGTGCACGTCAGGTCGGTATAATTAGGCCAGTACAAGCCAGAACAGCATTAGTCAGGATAGTCTTCTTCTTCTTCTTCTTCTTCACTTCCTCTTTTACCGCTGTGGGTGTCGAGGGAGATATAAGGTTCTGTTTCTAGCTCTTCTGGCTGCCTCGACCATAGGCACATCGTGCTGTTGTAGAGTTTCTCTGATGTTATCCTTCCATCTTGTTCTTGGTCTACCCCGTGCTCTACGTCCTTCTTCTCTTCCCATGTATGCTTTGTATGGTATGGTGTCACAAGGCATTCTCTCTAAGTGGGCAAACCATTTCACTTGCTGTCTTTGTATGTAATCCAGAATTGGTTCTGTGCCGACTTGTTCTCTTATGATCTCATTTCTGATCTTATCTCTTATGGTCACTCCTACAGCCCTTCTCAGACATCTCATTTCCGTGGTTACTAATTTTCTTTTATGGTTTGTTGTGAGTGACCATGTCTGGCACTGGTAGCACAGAGTTGGAATAAATATGCTTTGAATAAGATGTCTCTTTGTGCTGATTGGGATTGTCTTATGCTGTAAGAGGGGAGCTAGCTGTCCCAATACTTGGTTTGCTTTACTGCATCTAATGTCAATTTCTTTATCCAATTTCCCATCTTCGGTAAATGTAGTTCCCAGATATTTAAACTCAGATGCCTGTTTAATGCCTTTGTATTCTTTTGTTATGTTTAGATCTGTCTTCTTTTTTCCTATTGACATTACTTCTGTCTTTTCAGTGTTGATTCTCATATTATTTGTTTTACATTCTTCATTCATGGATGTTAGATGTTGTTGCAATTTCATGGCTGTATCTGCTATCAAGGCCTGGTCATCTGCAAAGAGTAATTCGTTGATCTTACTAAGATCTTCATTCATGGGCTTGGCATTCTTGCATATACTGTCGATGTAGGTGATAAACAGCAGTGGTGATAAGACACACCCCTGTCTTACTCCAGATGTCACTGTGAAAGGATGAGATGTTCCCTGATTTATTCTAACTACACTTCTACAATCCCTGTATAAACTTTTGCACACTTCGATGAGGTGTTCGCTTACTCCATATCTTGCCATTATTTTCCATAATTACAAGTCAGGTCAGTACAGGTCAGGTCAGTGCAAGTCAGGTGATTACAAGTCAAATGAGTAGAAATCAAGCTAGTACAAGTCTGGTCAATGCAATCTGGACCGTACAAGTCAGGTAAATACAAGTCAAGACAGTACAATAGGGTCAGTCCAAGTCAGATTAGAACAAATCAGATAGGTACAAGTCAGGTCACTACAAGCCAGGACAGTAAATTCGGGATTGTAAAGTCATCACTGTAAAAGTCAGAATATTAAAATCAGATCAGAACAAGTCAGGTCAGTACAAATCAGATCAGTACAAGTCAGATAAATTCAACTGAGAACAGTAAAGTCACCGCAGTAAAATTCAGGTCAGTACAAATCATCTCAGTGTAAGTCAAGTCAGTACAAGTCAGATCGGAACAAATCGGGTAGACAAAAGTCAGGTCAGTACAAATCAGGTTAGTAAAAGTAAATTAAAATGACAGTAGTAAAGTCATCACACTACATGTCGAGTCACTACAAGCCAGGACAGTACAGTCAGGATTTTGAAGACATTACAGTACTAGTCAGATCGGTATAATAGGGCCCAAAATAAGTCAGGTCAGTATACGTAAAGGTCAGTATAAGTCAGGTCAGTTAAAGTCAGGCAGTACAAGTCAGGTCAGTACGAGTCAGGCAGTACACATCAGGTCAGTACAAGTCAGGTCAGTACACATCAGGTCAGTACAAGTCAGTTAAATTAAAGTTAGAACAGTTAAGTCAGATAGTACAAGTAATGACTGTACAAGTCAGGCAGTACAAGTCAGGTCAGTACAAGTTAGGACAGTACAAATCAGGTAAATAAAGTAAAGACTGAAAATTCATGACAATTTCGGTATTTACAAGCCAAAACAGTAAAGACAGGACAATAAAGTTCAGACCAGTACAAGTCAGGACAGTAAAGTCAGGTAAATAATGTCAGCACAGCAAAATCAGGCCAATACAAGTGAGGTAAATAAAGTCAGGACAGTAAAATTAGGACAGTACAAGTCGTGTATATACACGTAAGGACAGGGAAGTCAAGACAGTAAAGTTGGGTCAGTACAAGTCAGCTCAGTCCAAGTCAGACCAGAACAAACCAGGTAGCTATCAGTCAGGTCAGTACATGTTAGATCAGTAAAGTCATCACAGTAAAACTTGGGTAATTATGTAACTGAAATTTACAAATAGTTTAAATGTTCACTGACTTTAGGAAATCAAAATATATAATTGGCTAGGACAATTTTAAATCCCAAAAATAATGGTTGCCCATAAGGTTAAGGATTTGTTAAAATGGATTGACAATTGCATTGCTATTTTTTTGATTATGTGATTGATTATTTGATTGATGCATATGTGATTTGCTTACTAACCCTCTGTTGACCTAATTTTCTGAGTCTTGTCTAGTACTCTATAATTTCAGCAGCAATCATAGGTGATAATTTGCAAACTCCTTGTAAGGGTCACTACTGCTTAACCGAGATGGCAGCATATCATTCTCTATTGGGGAAGACACTCTCAGACTTTGCTGCTCATGAAGCAGGTTTGAGTGGGGCTGAGCTAGATATATATGTCTCTGATTTGTTGAATGCCAAATCTCAACTAGAAGCTAATGTAGGTGTCCAAGGGAGGGAAGTAGATTCTATAGATTGGTTTTTTAGAAGTATAGAAATGGGTCAGGCTTGCAAATTCACAGGTATTAAACTGCTAGAGTGTGTTGCAGAGAAGGTCAAGGAAGATTGGGAATGGCAACTGGAGTGTGTCCAGATGGAACAGCACACACAAGCGAAAGGTTTTAAAGAGGCTGTTGAACATGCTCAGTGGAACCAGAAAGCTTTTGCTGGCGAGCCTTCCCGAGAATTATGGATGTTCACAACCCCAAAGCCAGACACTTCCATGTCAGCCAAAAATGCCTTGCCGAATACTAGTATCAGTCACTTAGGAAATGAAAACCCTGGTAGAGAATGTGAGATCCTTGGCAGCTGTCAAGAGATCAAAACTAGTGAGCCTGCAACTGCAGTGACCACTAGTGGGCTAGCTACCACAAAACTTGAGTTAACTCAGGGTGGTGATTTCTGTCAAGATGGTCATTCCTTGGCAGAAATAAAAAGTGATATTCCCAAAACCAACCCCATTTTAGATAATATTATTTTATCTAGAAGCTTGCACAGCAAGGAAACTTTGAAGCTCCACGCTGCAGATAGTATCTTGTAAAGTGGAGTCTGTTTATGTCCATGCTCCCACTACTTATTCTCACACGCAGTCAGTAGAAAGTCATGTGCTAGATAAAGACATAGATTTTTCCAGTAAGTCGAGTGATATCCTGAAGTTTACTGAGAGAAGCAAAAATGCATCTCAGTCTTGCTTACAAGTTAGGGTAACAGAGTCTCAGGCCTTAGATAAGTCCTTGAGGTCTCAAGGTATGTTGTTGTGCCCCCTCAGAATCAAGGGCCAGCACAACTTTGACTACCAAGAAAATGAGTCTCATGCTTCTGATAAGCCACTGAGATCTCAGGGTATGTTGTTGTGTCCCCTCAGAATCAAGGGCCAGCACAACTTTGACAACCCAGGAAATGAGTCTCAAGCTTCTGATAAGCCATTGAGGTCTCAGGGTATGTTGTTGTGTCCCCTCAGAACCAAGTGCAAGCACAACTTTGACAACCCAACGACTGCAAATAAGCAGGTCATGAGAGACCAAAAGTCTCGCATCTTGGTCCAATCCAAGATGAGCCAACCAAAGCATTTGTGGACACCTCTTCTGAAAAGAGTTGTGTGTTTCACCAAGACTAGACCGATAGCTAGGCAGATAATACATTATTATTCAGTTTCGTCCTTTTTATGACGAAATTTTTTGTTATTTGAAGCCCCACCCTGGCTTTTGACAGGGGCCGCAATATAGGCAGGCCATAAATATGGCCAAATGTCTGAACGCGGTTTCTGGGACCTCTCCATGGCGATCCTCATCCATATGGTGGCACTTTGTGTCATCGGGTGTTTATCGCTTGTGTGATGTCCTGGTGGGGTAGTTAGAAAGTCGAAAGTCAGCTAGGCAGACTGCTAAAAAGCTAACTAGGTCTACTGAGAACCCCTTAAAGAGTAAACTTCTTAAGCTCAGGTCTTTTGCCAGTTTAGTTAGGACCATTAATGATCCCAACCCTAAATCTGGTGAGGCTTATGCCAAATCCTCTGCAACCAGGCCAGAAACTTCAGTCTGTGTCAGTGCAGCCAAGAGGAGGAAGAACCCTTCCTTTACTTCATCTTCAGATGAAACCCACAAGACCCAGTCTACGGTTGAGACTGTAGGGTCTGTACACTATCGTAAGCAGCGCTTACCTTTTCTTCCATGTAAATCCTCCCAGATAGTTTCATGGATAAGACAGGTATTTTGAACATTGAACTGACCTTTCCTTCATGCCATCTTTTCTTTGTTAAGATTGTTTCTATTCAGAGAAGCGGACAGTCCGCCTTGACTTTCTCTGGGAAAAGACTTTGGTATGTTAGTCGCAGTCGGTCAAATCCGCTGGGACGGGGCTACAAATCCCAGTCAGTTGTTAAGGAGAAATTTTTTGTTCCTATTGAGATCCCATAGCAGATTAATTAGGGGATAATTTAGCAGGTGGATTGTAGGTAGCAGAAACAGTATCCAGGCCAGTTTAAGTTTGATATGTAAATATCAAACTTATCTTAGTTGGGCATATGTGACGAGCTGGTCTGGACAGCTGTTTCTGTCCTTTTAAAAAGTGCTTTGTTTAGATAATATTATTACCAAAGTTCTAAACATTTTCCTATTGCTTTTAATTAGCATAATAACACTGGATTAATTAAGAAATTTCTTACCCCTTTCTTAATGCTTCATTGGAGCAAAATTATAATTAAAGAGTTGAAAGGTAATAAAGGCGAATGAGATGATTAGTCAAGGGGAACTGAAGAGTAACTTCCTCCTTTTTAAAGACTTCCTGTTCCCTTTTCAATTCAGAAATTGACCGGTTCAGACTAAAGTTGTTAGTCCGCCGGTGGTCCAATTTTCTGTTTGAATTCCCTGCCAGGGGTGAGTTAAAAGAATAAGTTTAATTTGATGTATTGCTGCTTATTCCTCTGAATTAATTTCACAGGTTAAATTCTGAAATTTGATGCCCCACATGGCTTAAAAACTATGATAAATTTCTTTATCCTTACTAACCACGTTTATGATCTAGTATGTACATGTATGCAAACATATGATCTATTTGATGATTTAATTAATGTTTATTTGCTACTAGAAACGTGCATTGGTATTTTTAATTATTATACTTATATTAATTAACTGATAATTATGTCCTCATGTGAAATCTCGGCCAGTTCCGGTTTCCAGAATGGTGGGACAATTAAAAAAAGGAATGAAGTGTATATTCATTATACCTAATCCTTACTAAGTAATTTTACCTCATGGTGATATAAGCTTGATAAATCACTGTCTTGCTTTAATTTAGATTTAGTCCAGATAATTCTAAGACTAGTTTAAGAGCTTGGAAAGTGAATAACACAGTGAGGCTGAATTTAATATTCACACTGTCAGAGAAGAAGAAAGATGTATGGCCCATGCTTGTAATTATTATTGTTGTATATATATTTCCCCATTACTAGGAATTTTTCAGTACTGCAGCAGGTGGCCTTACAATTGTAATAATTATATTTCAACCTTTACAACTCCTAAACTCTACTGAATAAGATTTAGGACATGTGTGGATTTAGATTTAAACTGGAGTGAGTGTTGTATATTTTATGTTAATACTGTGACAGATGGAAAGCCCATTGTCAACTATGATTGTATTTTGACATTTATCCCAGGACCCAGTATATTGATGGAGATATGTCAATCCCATTTATTTTCAAACAGTGCAAAGCACCTGTTATGAGTTCCTGGTCTTGGTAAACTCACTCCCTGCTTCCCATTCATTGTGATGTGAAACCATGTGGTTAAAATGAGAATATTGTGAAATATGACTGTATATGTCTGTGTGTGTAAGCATGTTAACCCTTCAAAGGAGTACTAGTGTGCAGACATCAGAACAATTTACACTGAGGAATGTCCTTTCTTTTTGTGTGCTGTAAACTCTTGTTCTTGAGAGTATTCATGAAACTGGTTTCCTAAATATTTCCCCATCAGGATTATGGACCATGTTCTGTACACATTCCCATTCTATACCAGTAGAATGTGAACACCTGTTACTATCCTACTCCATATATATGTGTGTAGTGTAACAGTTTAAAGACTGGGGGTATTGTTGTCTCCAGTTAGAACCTTCCTGACTGTTTGTATAAGGACTGTTCTATTGTTCTAGTTCCAGATGGTACTTACAGGTGGGAGTTCCAGATGTAAATCCTAAGCTTAGCTGCAGATGCCCGATTGTCTGGACTGGACCGGAAGATTCGGCCTGCCTGATGTGTCACCGAGGCTTAGCCAGAAGCTGACCTAAGCTACAGCTAAGTGGGAACATCTGTTGCTTTCCCAATCCATAATTTTATCCACAGCCTTTTATTTAGTTATCATTTGAATTTATATTGAATTGAAAATCCTAATAAATGTAGTTTTAATGTTCTTACAGTTTTCTGAAGTTTCATTTTAACTGTAAGTGTGTCAGTGAACAAAAGCTAGTATAACTTTAATACATTTAAATATACAATTAATTACAGTAGGGAATAAGATGTGGGCAAACCCCGAATCCTCATTTAACCAGCAAGGCTGGGGTTACTATAAGACTTTATGATGTTTCACTGTTTGTAGTTCCCTCTGTAAAGTGCACATAGTGCAGTCGCTAGTTAAAGCGAAGTTACCCGCCACAGTATGTCAGTACAAGGTAGGTCAGTACAAGGTAGGTCAGTACAAGGTAGGTCAGTACAAGGTAGGTCAGTACAAGGTAGGTCAGTACAAGGTAGGTCAGTACAAGATAGGTCAGTACATGGTAGGTCAGTACATGTCATGTCAATTTAATTGAAAACAATAAAGTCATCACAGTACAAGTCAGGTTTGTAATAGTCAGGTTTGTAATAGTCAGGTTTGTAATAGTCAGGTTTGTAATAGTCAGGTTTGTAATAGTCAGGTTTGTAATATTCAGGTTTGTAATAGTTAGGTTTGTACATGTAAAGTGACTACATGTTAGGCCAGTCAAGTCAGGTCAGTACAAGTCGTTTACTTTAATTCAATTCGGTAAAAGACAAGTTCACGTCAGGCCAGTCAAGTCAGGCCAGTACAAGTCAGGTCAGGTCAAGTCAAACAAGGTCACGTCTGCACATACAGATCAATAAAAGTAAGAGCAGTTTAAGTCAGGGCAGTACAAGTTCAGTCAGTTCATGTTAGGTCAGTACAAGTCAGCTCAGTACAAGTCAGACATGTAGACAAGTAAAACAACTGTTGGGAAACATATTGCAGAGAATGTACAAACTCACCTAATCTTGTAAACAACTTCTTGGCAACCTGTAACAGAGCCTGGATTGAAAGCAGATATAATATTATTTAAATGTGATAACTGAAAGACGACACCTGATCTCCCTCAACTCCCCACCACAAACATAACATCAACATTTTCCAAATGCCTGAGTTGAATGGCAGATTATTATTTAAGTTGTTGAGCATAATGGATACAAGTTTACATAGATTTGTTTTCAACATGGAAGTGCACTAGAAAATTGAGGAGAATGACAGTATAATTTGTTAGAAGTGAAAGTTTTGATCACAATAGAGTCATACACGAATTGTGTCATACACAATAGAGTCATACACGAATTGTGTCATACACAATAGAGTCATACACGAATTGTGTCATACACAATAGAGTCATACACAATAGAGTCATACACAATTGAGTCATACACAATAGAGTCATAAACAATTGAGTCATACACAATAGAGTCATACACAATTGAGTCATACACAATTGAGTCATACACGAATTGTGTCATACACAATAGAGTCATACACAATAGAGTCATACACAATTGAGTCATACACAATTGAGTCATACACGAATTGTGTCATACACAATAGAGTCATACACAATAGAGTCATACACAATTGAGTCATACACAATAGAGTCATACACAATTGAGTCATACACAATAGAGTCATACACAATTGAGTCATACACAATTGAGTCATACACGAATTGTGTCATACACAATAGAGTCATACACGAATTGTGTCATACACAATAGAGTCATACACAATAGAGTCATACACGAATTGTGTCATACACAATAGAGTCATACACAATAGAGTCATACACAATTGAGTCATACACAATAGAGTCATACACAATAGAGTCATACACAATTGAGTCATACACAATTGAGTCATACACGAATTGTGTCATACACAATAGAGTCATACACAATAGAGTCATACACAATTGAGTCATACACAATAGAGTCATACACAATTGAGTCATACACAATTGAGTCATACACGAATTGTGTCATACACAATAGAGTCATACACAATAGAGTCATACACAATTGAGTCATACACAATAGAGTCATACACAATTGAGTCATACACAATAGAGTCATACACAATTGAGTCATACACAATTGAGTCATACAAGCATTGTGTCATACACGAATTGTGTCATACACGAATTGTGTCATACACAATTGAGTCATACACGAATTGTGTCATACACAATAGAGTCATACGCGAATTGTGTCATACACAATAGAGTCATACACGAATTGTGTCATACACAATTGAGTCATACACGAATTGTGTCATACACAATAGAGTCATACACGAATTGTGTCATACACAATTGAGTCATACACAATAGAGTCATACACGAATTGTGTCATACACAATTGAGTCATACACAATAGAGTCATACACGAATTGTGTCATACACAATAGAGTCATACACGAATTGTGTCATACACAATTGAGTCATACACAATAGAGTCATACACAATAGAGTCATACACGAATTGTGTCATACACAATAGAGTCATACACAATAGAGTCATACACGAATTGTGTCATACACAATAGAGTCATACACGAATTGTGTCATACACAATAGAGTCATACACGAATTGTGTCATACACAATTGAGTCATACACAATAGAGTCATACACAATAGAGTCATACACGAATTGTGTCATACAAAATAGAGTCATACACAATAGAGTCATACACGAATTGTGTCATACACAATTGAGTCATACAGGAATTGTGTCATATACAATAGAGTCATACACGAATTGTGTCATACACAATAGAGTCATACACGAATTGTGTCATACACAATAGAGTCATACACGAATTGTGTCATACACAATAGAGTCATACACGATAGTGTCATACACAATAGAGTCATACACGAATTGTGTCATACACAATAGAGTCATACACGAATTGTGTCATATACAATAGAGTCATACACGAATTGTGTCATATACAATAGAGTCATACACGAATTGTGTCATATACAATAGAGTCATACACGAATTGTGTCATACACAATAGAGTCATACACGAATTGAGTCATACACAATAGAGTCATACACGATAGTGTCATACACAATAGAGTCATACACGAATTGTGTCATACACAATAGAGTCATACACAATAGAGTCATACACGAATTGTGTCATACACAATTGAGTCATACACGAATTGTGTCATATACAATAGAGTCATACACGAATTGTGTCATACACAATAGAGTCATACACGAATTGTGTCATACACAATAGAGTCATACACGAATTGTGTCATACACAATAGAGTCATACACGAATTGTGTCATATACAATTGAGTCATACACGAATTGTGTCATACACAATAGAGTCATACACGAATGAGGCAGTAAACAGGTACCCATGCATGCCTTAAGCGCTTTAAGAAGAAGAAAAAACAATAGTTAATTTATTGAATGAAGAATGATTAGAAAATAGAACAAAGAATAATAATTGAAGAATACATTTTTGCGCATGCATACACAGTACAGTTTCTTCGGATGAAGTATATTCTTGAGAAAAAAGGTAGAAGACGATTAGTAAACAGAGTAAATATTACTGATAAACAGTCAAGTGATAAAGATAATTATCAGATTAAAATGTATGAGTTAATGTCTCTGAAGAGCTTTGTAGGATTTGTAGGAGTAATTGTAGTAAAGATAAAATTTAAAAAATTACAATACGTAATATACCAGAGAGCAGTGATTTGGCATACTACGTGACAATGAGAGAACTGTAATTGTTAAAGAAGACACAATAAACAAAATAAAATGTTCCTCCCATATATTTAGCTTCAACATTAAAACAAAACAGTCATTTATATGTTGAACGTGCTGGCAACAACAAAAGGACAGACATGTACATGATGTACTTGCTGAGAAAAAACAAAAACAAAAACATGTACAGTTGGACTTCAGTTTTTCAGTATGATAGCGTGTTGTTCTGTTTGTGCTCATGAGCGATGACTTCGCTTTTTATCAGGCGTTTTTCACTTGGACTCAAGGGCAGCGAAGAAACGTGTTACGCTGCGAGATATTTGTTCGAGGCATGTGTGGTGATTATGCGTTGTGGTTTTACTGTGTGATCTGCAGATCGACGTCATGGAGGTCTTAGCAACATTGACGATCTCTAAGGTTAGTATGGGAGTACACTTTGAGATAAGAGAGAAATAGAAGAACGGCGAGATATACCAGCAGGACTCACACACAAACTAACACACACAGCCGAGAACGAGGGTTAAAAGGTCAGACAGAGGTCTAGGCAGTGAATGTATGATTTGCCGTCAGCATGAGATGTTGTGTTTTGTGTGACATGGTATAGTTGAACAGCGTGACATGTTGTGTTTTGTGTGACATGGTATAGTTGAACAGCGTGAGATGTTGTGTTTTGTGTGACATGGTATAGTTGAACAGCGTGACATGTTGTGTTTTGTGTGACATGGTATAGTTGAACAGCGTGAGATGTTGTGTTTTGTGTGACATGGTATAGTTGAACAGCGTGACATGTTGTGTTTTGTGTGACATGGTATAGTTGAACAGCGTGACATGTTGTGTTTTGTGTGACATGGTATAGTTGAACAGCGTGACATGTTGTGTTTTGTGTGACATGGTATAGTTGAACAGCGTGACATGTTGTGTTTTGTGTGACATGGTATAGTTGAACAGCGTGACATGTTGTGTTTTGTGTGACATGGTATAGTTGAACAGCGTGAGATGTTGTGTTTTGTGTGACATGGTATAGTTGAACAGCGTGACATGTTGTGTTTTGTGGGACATGGTATAGTTGAACAGCGTGAGATGTTATGTTTTGTGTGACATGGTATAGTTGAACAGCGTGACATGTTGTGTTTTGTGTGACATGGTATAGTTGAACAGCGTGACATGTTCTGTTTTGTGTGACATGGTATAGTTGAACAGCGTGAGATGTTGTGTTTTGTGTGACATGGTATAGTTGAACAGCGTGACATGTTGTGTTTTGTGTGACATGGTATAGTTGAACAGCGTGAGATGTTGTGTTTTGTGTGACATGGTATAGTTGAACAGCGTGAGATGTTGTGTTTTGTGTGACATGGTATAGTTGAACAGCGTGACATGTTGTGTTTTGTGTGACATGGTATAGTTGAACAGCGTGAGATGTTGTGTTTTGTGTGACATGGTATAGTTGAACAGCGTGAGATGTTGTGTTTTGTGTGACATTGTATAGTTGAACAGCATGAGATGTTGTGTTTTGTGTGACATGGTATAGTTGAACAGCATGGAGAAGATTGAATTCGACAATATGACCGCCCAGCCAGAATCCAGTCAAGTTGCCAACTAGCCTCATGGTGGAGCTGAACAGCCAGCGGCCTGAGATGCTGGTGTGAGACCCATAAATGTGGCGCGATGGAGACTAATGATCGCAAAGGGAGCAAAGGGGAATGACTGTGAACAGCAGTGAAGATCTTTGTCATTGTTACCTGTTGAATATTTGGACATGATATAGCGTAGCTGGCGGTGACTGGACCGGATTGTTTTCTGTGAGTAATAAACGTATACACTACGTGTGTGTCTCCTCAATAACATCTGTGTGCGGTAGTTCGTCATGAGTGTCAGCCAGAGTACAATCCTCCCGGAAACAGGCAGAGCACAATGGAAACAGGTTATTCTTATCGAAGCCCATGAAGGTGACACGTCCAGATGGCAAGATGCCAGTCTCCAGTTACAAGTCTGCTTAAACAATGGAAGAATCACCAGGATGGCCTATCAACCTGAAGAAGAAGACAGTGTGCTTGACCTGGCTTCAGTTTCACCTGCACCAAGTCCACACTGTAGCTGGTATGTACTAAGTAATCATGGCAGCGACCACTGTCCCTGTGTTGTTCTCTTAAAAAGGGTGTCAGCACACATCATTGGATCAATTCAAACCCTTTTAAATACACATCAGAAAAAGATGTCGCAAACAACCTGGAGATCTGGCAGAAAGCAATAAAATCCGCTGACTATACTTCAGACCTACTGCGGGAATGTAAACACTCCATGCAGACCACAACAACACCCTTCAAAGCAGTTGCCCAGCAAGCCAAGGACACAACCTGGGAAATATTTTGCCATGGTGTGCAAGGAAAGATCCCTTGCAAACTTCTGGTCCGTACACAAGGCTATGACAGGTGCTCCTAGACGCCAAGTCATCAGAGACTTTCGTAATAAAGACCAGAACAGGTCTGATGAAGAGAAAGGAAGAGCACTTCGTGGCAGATACCTCAAGCAAAAGAAATCTGCACTCAAGAAACCGCCACCCGTCAGACTACCTTGGAAATGCTCGTTGCAACATGTGCTGGTACTGGCATAAACGATGATCAGCTAATTACGGTCGCTAAAATTAAGAACAAAATCAAAACATCACAGAAGTCTGCACCTGGCCCTGATGTCATTGCCACGCTGTCCACAACATCCATGAAGGTCCTATGTAAAGCCTACAATGACAGCATTTGTAATGGTACCATCTCAGAAAGCTGTGCATAGCTATTTGATTCCGCTAGAAAAATCTGGCACATAAATGGCTATAGAATCATTACGGTGCAGAACACATTAGGCAAAACGTTGCAAAAGATAAAAGCGAGAAGACTGGCAAGCCATGTTGAAATACATCAGCTGCTAGCCTCCACACTTGGAGGATACAGACAAAATACGGAGACATGGCGTAAGGCTGCCGTCTTTGCACATGACACATTTAAAGGTTTTCAAGCTAGATTTGAAACATGTGCAGTCGCCATATATCAGGAGGATGCATACAACAAAGTTCCCTTTCACCATCTAATGTGTCAGTTAATTAAACTCAACATCCCCCCCCCCCCACATCTTATTCGATGGATATCTGCCTCACTTTTCAAGAGAAAGATCGTGTTAGTTGGTTCTGAGTCGATAACAATACACCCTGGTTTGCCACATCGTTCTCTTCAAAAAAATTCAACATCTACACAGTCAAAATCACAGGAGAAAAACTGAGTGGCAGAGGAAGAGCTCTATCATAAGCGGATGACATTGTCGTGCACCAACAGGGCAGGAACAGAGATGACATTGTACCCAAGCTACAACAGGAGTTCGATCGCATATCATCCTGGTGCAACACCTCAGGGGAGACAAATAATCCATCAAAAGTGACAGCTACCTGCTTCTCATTAAATAATCACCTTTCCAAAACACCAATGACGATAATAAAACTCTGACGTGAAAAGATCTTATTCCATGAAATACCTGGGTATAACATTTGACAGATGCTTAGCATTAAAAAAAAAAAAAAACCCATGTAGACCACATTATAACCACAGCCAAGAAAGGCCTCTATGCAATAAAAGTTATGGGAGCTGCAAACTTTGAGCAACGGCTACTGGTAATGTTGTATCGTGCATGAGTTCTCTCTACCATTGAATACGCCTTGACACTCAGCACCACACAGATGAACAGACTGGAAAAAATTTAAAACGAGGCAATGCTTATTATTCTTGGATGCACTAGAGACAACTCTTGTAAATCCATGCGATACCTCTTGGATTTCCTCACAATGGAAAACAGAATTAAGCTATCCAGGGCTGTTGCTTTCCTCAAAGTGAAATCAGACCATCGACAGCCACTTTATGAGCAGTAGACTCAAACGAGGCAATCCTGGATTGGTCGGACTGAGGATGCCATCGAAAATGTTTGTCGCCCTAATGACATTAATTTTGGGAATGAATGGATAATTATGTCTCCTTCTCCAAATATTAATTTTACAGTCCACATCACACTTGATTAAAGCTGTAGAGAGCAGATTCCTGGTATTGTTGACAGATTAGTAAGAACACTGATTGACGAAAACACAGTTACAGGTAATGCTATAGTTTACACAGATGGGTCAGTAATTCGATGGCAAGCGAAGTACATGGGCATTCACAGTAAGCTCAAGGGGTAAAACAATCAAGGAGATGAATGACGCCTTTGCTGTTACAACTAGTAGCGTTACAATAGAAACTATGGCTGTAAGAAGGGCTTTAACATCGCTTGGTACTCAAAAGTTCACACACGTATGCATTCTTAGTGACTCGATGAATATGATTAAACAAATTCAGGCTAGATTTATCAGGAAAGAATTGATTGCAAAATTTAGCACTTCTCAAAATAGCTGCCCTAACCTTATTCTTTGTGCCAGGTTATCCGGGTATTCAAAGGAACGGGCGTGCAGACTATCTTGCTGAAACTGCGGTTGCTATGGCTGGTCCAGTACTGGACAGATGTGATATTATCAATGTCGTGCGCTGCACTCACCGTACCGAGGAGCACACCAAAGGACATGACTCCGTACCCCTGTCTAGACTGATGGACATGGGGGTGCAGCCTAGAGCTGCAAGAAATGAACATTTCACTAAGAGGACAAGACATTTCATTAACCAATATAGAACAGGCGTCATCAGTCGTTTTACACTTGTAGAGCTTTTTAGGAGGAGATTGGAGCACCAATGGATCTGTCCGAAGTGCAGTGATGATAATCTTTTCTAATCCCTAATCACATATAAAGTCATGTACACAGTGTAGCATGCTGACAACAACAAAAAGACAGACATGTACGCAGTGTCAGTGATAACAACACATACAGTCGTGTACATGGTGTACTTGCTGACAACTACAGACTGTCATGTACACAGTGTAGCGTGCTGACAACAACAAATATATAGTGATGTACACAGTGTAGCGTGCTTACAACAACAAATATACAGTAATGTACACAGTGTAGCGTACTGATAACAACAAATATACAGTGATATACACAGTGCAGTGTGCTGACAACAACAAATATACAGTGATGTACACAGTATACGTGCTGACAACAACAAATATACAGTGAAGTACACAGTGTAGCGTGCTGACAACAACAAATATACAGTGATGTACACAGTGTAGTGTGCTGACAACAACAAATATACAGTGATGTATACAGTGTAGCGTGCTGACAACAACAAATATGCAGTGATGTACACAGTGTAGCGTACTTACAACAACAAATATACAGTGATGTACACAGTATACGTGCAGACAACAACAAATATACAGTGATATACACAGTGAAGCGTACTGATAACAACAGACAGACATGTACATGATGTAAGTGCTGACAACAACAAATATACAGTGATGTACACAGTGTAGTGTGCTGACAACAAAAAATATACAGTGATGTACAAGGTATACGTGCTGACAACAACAAATATACAGTGATGTACACAGTGTAGCGTGCTGACAACAACAGACAGACATGTACATGATGTAAGTGCTGACAACAACACATATACAGACATGGGCACAGTGAAGGCGCTGATAACACCATAGGCAGTCCTGTATATGGTGTACGTGCTGACAACAACAAACAGGTGTGTACACAGTGTAGTTGCTGACCACTGTACCTGTGTCTGATCCTTCAACTTGCGCTCATTCTGAAATGCCAGGGTACTGGAGAGAACTGTAGCTGTATATCTGAAGCATTGGTGAATCATCTCAATGTCTTCTTCATTAAACCTACAAGCATACATGAGTTACACACTGTAGTTTGCTACGCACACATAGGAACACAATCTCATACACTGTATATCAAAAACACTGTTGGATCATCTCAAAGTCTTCTTCATTAAACCTACAAGCATACATGAGTTACACACTGTAGTTTGCTACGCACACATAGGAACACAATCTCATACACTGCATATCTGAAGCATTGGGGAATCATCTCAATGTCTTCTTCATTAAACCTACAAGCATACATGAGTTACACACTGTAGTTTGCTACGCACACATTGGAACACAATCTCATACACTGTATATCAAAAACACTGTTGGATCATCTCAAAGTCTTCTTCATTAAACCTAAAAGCTTTTGCAAGTTACACACTATATATTTGCTACTTACACACAGATAAGTAATCTTATACACTATATATTTGCTACTTACACACAGATAAGTAATCTTATACACTATTTATTTGCCACTTACACACAGATAAGTAATCTTATACACTATATATTTGCTACTCATACACATAGATCATTATCTCATACACTCTAAGTTAACCACATACATACAGATATCATAATATTCCTGGGGTAGGAGCCTGTAATACTACTAGGCGCGTCCACCAGGTGGCGGGTGGTGGAAAGGCCTCTAGATATAGAGGTTAGCCACGAATATATTGAATAAGTGGCCGTGGACCAAAACAGGTGATGGTCATTGAGAGGAGGCGAGTTGGTTGGTGGGACAGCTAACTCTATAAAATACCTCAAAACTCTACGACATCGCCATCAGCGAGTAAGAGGCGCCATAACCTCTCCCCCCCTTCCCTGCTGCCTTGCATGGTAAGTCTCTTAAAACAAACGCTTTTAGAGTCAAACCATATACAAACCGGCGGAAGACAAGGGAAAAACCACAGCTGTACTATCCCAATAAAATCATGCCTCAAGATAATAGGAATTCAGATAACAACGTGAATGGGGATTCCAGTGGAATCACCTCGTCCGGTAAGGAGCATCATGTTCTACGGGTGATACCCGACTGTCATCCAGCTACTTTAAAAAAAAGTAAATGGTAGAAACATCATGAACATTGGTACATAGAATGTCAGAACACTCGTACAAAACGGAAAGTTTGATAACATCAAGATGGAAATGAAGAGAATAAACATCAACATATTAGGAATTAGTGAAATGCGATGGCCAGGAGCAGGGAAAAAGTATTCAGATCAGTCTTGTCTTGTCTTGTCCACAATTGCCTCACAGCGTAGTGGGGAGTCGCAGTTTTCTTTCCTGGGCCAGGTGAGTTGCACGTGTTGTTGTTAGTCCGTGTTGCCTCAGGATCTCTGATCAGATCAGTACATAATTATTTACTCGGGTGGGAAGGAATATAGTAAGGGAGTCGGTATTATTTTGGATCAAAAGAACTCAAAAACTGTGAAAGGGTTTTGGACAATATCAGATAGAGTACTATTAGTAAAACTTCGCGACCTACCGCTTGACATCAACTTTGTACAGATTTATGCCCCAACATTGTAGATTCAGAAAATGGCGCGATGCCTGTCTTGCAGTGTTGTGGTGCCTGTATGTGATTAAAATTGATCGCGTGGGCAACTGCTGATCTGTTGGCGACTTCTGCTACCATCAATGATGAACTGCAATTCTAATACTGTGATAAACATTCTGTGTGTTTTTCGTTAGCACAGGAGTGGAGCAAAGATGGGGTAACCCGATTGCTATGAAGCTGAAACTAGGACTACCTGACTACCTGAGTTCAGAGGAAGATATATACGCATTTTATGACGAGTTAGACATGGCTGTTTATCAATGGAAAAATTGTGAAGTAACAATGGTACTTGGAGATTTCTACGCGAAAATAGAAGTGAAAAAATGTACGGAATAACGGGTGGCTATGGCCTAGGAAAAAAAGAATGTGAGAGGTGACAGATTAATAGCATGGGCTGAATCATGCAGCATGATAATAGGTAACACCTGGTTTTAACAACATCCTCGAAGATTGTGGACTTGAAAAAGTCCTGGTGATAATGTCCGCAATCAGACTGATTATATTTTGATTTCAAGAAGATTCCGGAGCAGCTTCATCATCATCATGTTGCAGGTCTTTTGCAGAACATCGCTCTCATCACAGTCTGCCTGAAAGAAACTCGGTCTCTTGCCAGTTCTCCCGCCTCATGAACTTTCACACTCAAGGAGTCACTTATATCCTGTGCCCATCTTCGTGTTGGTCGGCCGCTGCCCCTCCTTCCTGGTACCATGCCTTCTACTATAATTGTTTCCAATAAGTCGTGGCGCTTGATATGACCAAAATATTTCAGCTTTCGAGAAAGGATGCTGTTTAAGAGCCAATCTTCCTTGATGTTCAGATCTTTTAAGATGTCAATATTTCTCATCTTCTTTGTCCAACAGATTCTGACAATCTTTCTATAGCATTTCAGCTTAGTTGGAGCAAAGACTAGACCAGGAGCAGACTGCTATAGTGACCATGTTCCAGTTGTAGGAAAAATTAGAATAAAACTAAATAACATTAGACAAAACACCACAGAACATCAAGTTAAATTTACGAATTCTTAGAACAGATAAAGAAATTAAGGACCAGTACAATGTCACTGTACAAAACCAGTATAATGCAATAGAAATTATACAGACTATTGAACAGTGGGATCTGTTGCGTGAGTCAATTCAGCAGACATCTAAAGAGACAATCTTACACACACACAAAAATGGATGTCAACCGAAATTCTGCAGTTGATGGATGAAAGAAGGAAGAAAAAGAATGATAAAGGAGAATACTCTAGAATACAAAAAGAAATAGTGAACAAATGCAAAATGGCTAAAGAAGCCTGGCTGAATCAAATGTGTACAAAGATTGGGGAAAACAACAGAAAAGACTCACATTCCATGTATCAACAGATAAATATGTTAACAGGAAAGATGACACGTAACAGCACTGGATGTTTGAAATCAAAAGATGGTGACAAATAATGGGACATAGTAATATAATTAACAGATGGACAGAGTATATAGGGGAATTGTATGATGATAATAGACCAGATGTAGAACTGTAGACCAACAATGATGGTCCACCAATAATGACTGCAGAAGTTGAGGATGCAATACATCCTTTGAAGAAAGGAAAACATCCGGGTCAGACAACATCTCACTGGAAGAAATCGAAGCACTGGGATATTTTGGAATTTAAATAATAACTAAACCTTTGAATGATATTTATAATAATGGGTATATTCCAAATGACCTTTTAAAATCCATATTTATAGCTCTGCCTAAAAAAGCAGGCACTATAAAATGTGAAGACCATCGCACAATAAGTCTTATGAGTCATATGACTAAGATTTTACTGATAATAATTATGAGAAAAAAAAAGAAAAAAACATTAAACCATAAATCAGCGATGAACAATGTGGATTTGTAGAAGGAAAAGGTACAAACAATGCGATATACATCCTAAGGACATTGTCAGAAAGAGCTATAGAAGTAAAGACTGATTTGTACTTATGCTTCATAGACTATACAAAAGCATTTGACTGTGTGAAGCATGAAGAAGTAATCAAACTGTTAGAAAAATTAAACATTGATGGGAAAGATCCACGAATAATAAAGAATATGTATTGGCAGCAAACAGCAGCTATAAGAATTAACAACTGTTTAGGTACATTTCAAAGCATAAAGAGGGGCGTACAACAAGGATGTGTACTGTCACCTGATTTTCAATATATAGTGAATATATAATGAGATCTTTAATTGGTATGCCCGGAATAGTGGTTGGTGGGCACAATATAAACAATTTACGTTATGCTGATGACACAGTCTTGATAGCAGCAAGTCAGAAAGAACTACAGGAAATGATAGACATTGTGGAGTTAGAAAGTGGAAGAATGGGCTTCAGTTTGAATAATGGGAAGACAGAAGTAATGGTGGTAACAAAGAAACGAATTATTCTTAAGTGTGTAATAAAAGTTGATGGTGTTATTTTAGGACAAGTACAGAAATTAAAGTATCTGGGCACATGGATAACATCAGATGGAAGATGCATAACAGAGATAAGAAACAGAATAGGACAGGCAAAAACTGCATTTTATAAAATGAAAAACATTTTGTGCAATATATCCTTGTCATTGAGAGTTAGAAAAAGAATTCTTGCTTGCTACATACATCCAGTTTTAACATAAGGCTGTGAATTCTGGACAATCGGTAGGCAGGCCAAACAATTTCTAGAGGCCTCAGAGATGTGGTTTTCCAGAAGAATGCTTACAATACCTCGGACAGCCAAAAAAGAGCAACCAAGAGGTTTTGAAAGACATCAAAGGGAGACAGTCATCCTTTTTCGGCCATGTTATGAGAAGAAGGAAAATAGAACATGTTGTGACCACTGGAAAGATCTGTGGAGGGAGAGATAGAGGAAGACAACGAGAGAAGATGCTTGACAGTCTTGTTGCATGGCATGGAGGTGTGTCGGCCAAGGAACTGATACATGCTGCAGGAGATCGCAGATTATGGAGAGGCATGATCGCCCACGCCAGTCGGCAAGGCACCTGATGATGATGATCATAATATTAATTATTGTATATTTGTTATTTACCACATAAATACAATCTTATACACTAAATGTTTTGTACTTACATACATAGATAACACTCTGTTAAACTGTATTTTTGCCAATTACTCACATAGATCACAATCTTATACACTCTTTGTTTGCTACTTACACACATAGATCATCTTATACACTGTATGTTTGCTACTTACGCCCATAGATCACAATCTTATACAGCGTATGTTTGCCACCTACACACATAGATCACAAACTTATAAACTGTATGTTTGCCACTTACACACATAGATCACAATCTTACACACTGTATGTTTGCTACTTACACATATAGATCACAATCTTATACACTGTATGTTTGCTACTCACACACATAGATCACAATCTTATACACTGTATGTTTGCTACTTACACATATAGATTACAA